AATACATGTAATAGGAATGATTCAACACCTGTCCCAGATATATGGAAAATTCTACTGCCCATACAAAAAATAGGAGAAGACAGAGAAAACTATAAAAATCAAATCTCGAAATCGTGTGACAAAAATTGATATGATTATGAACAATAAATTGTGTTCGAAACGTCATCCAGTATACAATACTGTTTCACTGTGTGATACATTTAATAATCAAACTAATATGGAATTACTTAATACCACAGTGCCCAAGTTTTACACATACATTAGTCTACCAGCAAGGACCTGGCCATGATTGATTATTACTGTTATTCGTAATTGAAACGGTCTTAATAAAAACTTAAGCATTTAGGTGTTGGTTTGTAGGGATTTGGTTGGTTTCAGGATTTTATCATGAGCTGACATTAGTTAGAGAACCATTGGAAAACCTGGGAGTACCGGACAGCTGTTTCGTCCTAGTTTGGGACTCTTCAGCAGTACGCACCCACCGGGATTCGGACCCAGGACCTTCCGGTTACAAGGCGAGGTCGTATACCATTAAACCACTGGGACCCGATCCAATGGTCCTTGAATTCTAACTTCTGCCAATTCACGGCATAGCGCGACCGCTAGCCAATGTCTTCAGCGATGAAATGAAATGATGAAATCCTGAAACCAACCAAATCCCTACAAACCAACACTTAAATACCTATGAGATGCTCACTGGCGACTGGCCCTATTCAGGTTGGGTAGTTACCTGGGTTCCAGTGGGAAGTCGTGACCAGTAGGGTGCAGTGGGTCGGGTGTGAAAACATGAGTATCTCTGAAATTTTCACCAAATGAAACCTTAGGACAACAATGAACGAAATTATATGACTCCTTTCAAGAGTCTGCTTTTGTAGAAATTCGGTTCGTAAACATCCATGTAGCTCAGCGAAGAGTCCCTTTCTGGCGGCGAATTCATTCACTTAACTGTACAAATGCATTAACATATATACATATAAATATTTATTTATTCATTTTTGTATATATGTGCGTTTACATAAGGTTTGTTCGACTAGAATAAAAATAAGTTAAGGTTAATGTTATTCTGGCGTTGGATACTTATTGGGTGTAGCTGTTGAGCGGAAACGAAATCTAATTAAATCACTTGCCACCTCAGATCCTAAGCATCTGCAGTCCTGACGCCCTGGAAGCAGAACTCGATCTTCTGAAAGAAAACCTCATACAAAATGGATACCCACCAAGATTTTATAGACAACAATATCAAACCAAAAGTCCACAGGAACGAAACATCACTTGTTTCAAAAAAATACTTAACATGAATCTGGATTTCCAGCTTCGTTGAGAAGAACATTCCTCATAGAAACGCTAAGAGTAGTGTTCTCCAGTCATCCATTGATCTGTAGAAGTCTTAAGGACAAAAATCTCGCACCTGACCACGTCTATGTGCATATATCAGTTCACCTGTTGCTGTGATGCCAGCTAGGTACATTGGTCGTTCAACACGTATCCTGTCTTAAAGGATTCAAGAACTCCTTCCCGCAGGGCTACAAAAACGTAATAGTGGCTTTATAAGGAGTTCAATAATAGAATATCTCGTCAACACATTGGTCATTCCATCTCAACAAATATCGCCTCCTTCAAAGTGATCTACAAAGTGAAGAACAACCTACAACAAAAGACAATACGCTTTCATCTCCTTTGTATTGCTTGAAGCCTTAGTCATTCAGTTGGAAAAATCAGAGTTATATATACAAAAGAAAATCATCCAACCATTTCTACTATCATGGTAACAACCGTGTGTGTGTGACTTCTACTCACTTGATGTTTGTGTGCTTGTTTTTGCTTTCTTCTAACTCTCTATAACATTCACAATTCACAACTTGTCCTAAACACAACTCACTCATTAAACTAACTATTCATCTTATTATGTAACTGTATTATTACGCTTATTCAACCTCTTTGATGTGTTAATAATGTTTGTCTTTTTTGACAATACCTCACCACTACCCTCTGACTAATCTTCACCGCCAACACCGCCCTAGTTACAATTTCATTACTCATCACATTTTTTAAAATTTCTTGATAACAATAACCCTAAGTTATTTACATTCTCATCGGACAAACCTAATGTCCACACACACACACACACAGACAAAAATAAGTGTATGTATAATTGCGACAATACAGACAAGTGAATGATTTATTCGCCGCCGGAAAAAGGAATCTTTGCTAAACTTCGCGTTTTTCAGACATACTTATTACTCACACACACACACACACACACACACTTTGAATTACTTTGTCACCGAATAACAATAACCTTTGACCTAAATATAACTGTACAGCTTTTTTTTATTACAGCTTGACTCCACACAGTAATTTTGGTACAAGTATGGAATTTTCAGCATATGATATCGGTAGCCCAAATTTCGCAGGCCGACCATAGAGATATCAGGTGTGCGTCGGCAGGGGATCGAACCTCCAACCATATGCATGGTTGGTGAGAGTACTAACCACTGTGCCACCGACGGACACAAGTGAAGTAACTCAAAGAAATGATCTCTTTACTGACTGTCTAATTCCATCTTAGCTTAGGAATAAGGAATGAAGTGATAGAGCGTGTTACACATCAACCAGTGCCAACGAGTTCATCACTGATGAAATTTCAGCACGGATACAAAAGGCTCGTCTGACATTTACCTGCCAACTTAAGCCATCTCTGGTTTAGTAGACGTGACATCTGACTGGCTGCCGGGAAATCGACCGAACGACGTGTGTACGACTCACCAGTTCGCTCCATCACATTTTTGAGATTTTTTGACATTAATAACCTTAACTTATTTTTATTCCTATCGGACAAACTTTAATGTACACACACGCACAAACACGAAAATAAGTGTAAGTATAATTGTAACTGTACAGCCAAATGAATGAATTATTCACCGAAAAGAGACTCTTCGCTAAATTACCTGTTTGGTTTTCATTAATGTCTAGATTGGGATTATTCATGAATTCGATTTGATTAAAGTTTGATCACGAATTGATATCAGTCAGAGAACCAATGAAACTCCGGCAGGGTGTACTCGACAACTGTTTCTCTCTCTAGTCCTAGTTTGGAACTCATCGGTAATATGCACCCACTGTCAGCGTTCAAACCCAGGACCTAGGCGACCCAGACGATTTATTCACTGGGACTCGACTTAATAACCACAGCCCATGAATTCTAACTTCTACCAGTTGGTGATATTATTATTATTATTAAGCGCAACTGGCATCAGACAATACCATCGCTGGTGAGTATTTATCCTCACTCCCGACCGAGTTGGTGGACCGCAGTGGTCACCACTTCTCAGTAGAAGTATAGACAACTTCATCCTGCAGCCAGCTAGTCACTAGCGAGGATTAGATTAATTTTCAAAAGATTTTCCAGATGGAGTTGATTTGGTTAAAGCTTGCTCATAGATTTTGATGAAGTACATGAAGGAAAAATTAAAAATATAGTTTTTGCTTAAAAACAACCTAAAATAATGAATACTGTTTTTTTGAGAAGACAGATAAAAAAGAAGAAATTAAAAGTTGCATATAAGTCAATAAATTAAAAACATCATGAAAAGATGTTGAAGAGTAATGGTCACCCTCAAAGATTCATTAACAAGTACGGAAGGCCTGAAGTCTCAAACGTCAAGCAAATGACAGTGGAGAAAAAGCCAATCCACATTCAAACTGATTATAAAGGAGAAAACATTGCAGCAATGGGCAACAGAAGATTGAGGACGTCACTACTAGCCAGAGCCTATCCTGTAGTCAAGCTCGTTCTCGTCAACCGAACAACTTTCTCTCCATTGGTGCAATCAAAAATCTATAAATATCCTTCTCATGTTAACAACTCCAACTGTATATACATGCACCTGAAAGAGCAGTTTTACATTGGAAGAACAGAAAGAGGGAGGGCATACTTCCGGGTTTCTGAACATGTACCGAAAACCTAAAGAAAGGACGCTATGAATCATCAATCTTTTTAAAAGGGGAGGTGATATGTATCCACATAATATGTATGTTTGTTTTTGACAGTCTGCTTTATTTTCTTATGTATATATGGATCGATATTCCATTATAATTGACAATATGTTTTTGTCTGTCCACTAACTAAGCAAGCATGTCTGACCTTCTTGTCACATGACATTACAACCAATCATGTTAAGACTGTCTATTGAGTCGTTTATTTTTGAAAATTCGCTCACACACTTGTGTGACATTGATTTTCCTTGTTGTTTGAAAAATACAAGTATCATCGTGAACCTGGCGGTTTTCGGATTTCCGCCTTCTTGCGTCAGGACTATTAATTACTCGACCAGTACACAACAATAATTTCCATCCATTTACACATAGCAGAACATAATAGACTGTCAAAAACAAACACACATATTATGTGGATACATATCAGTCCCTAGCTGGGAACAAATGCTTTAAACTGTGTCATCGCCAGGCATCTCCTTGACACGGGTCATGAGTTGGACGTTGCAAGATCATTCAAAATTATCAACAGGCAAAAGAGTTCAATTCTCCTTAAGTTTGCTGAAGCCATCTCCATCAAGTACCTGAAACTTGATTTATCCGTTCAGAATGAAACAGTTAACAGTCTTTCTTTGCCAACCTGGTAACTGGAAGATACCATTGTGTATGATCATTATGGTTCAGAATAGTGTTTAATACTATTATTATACATATATTATTACTCTATGCATGTATTGATTGATTGATTGATTTTTGTTTAAAAATGAACTGTGTGCAAGTGTGTTAAAATTGTTTCTATAGATATACTTAATCATGACTTCGACCTGTAAGCAGACAGCTGATGAGAAGCCAACGAAACTGTTGTTCTCGCTTTATTGGAATTTATACCGAGGGGAATAAATGTATGAAACAATCATTCTTTCATTATTATCGATGTATGTATATATATAACTGTAGAACCTCATGAAGAAGAGCAAGAATATCGAAAAGAATCTAAATAAACTTACCATTTTCAATTTCTTTTACAATAGCCATAAATTTTGGCCATATCAATTTCACAGCATAAAGTGACGTACTGACAGTATCTTTATTGGTTGAACAACGTACATTATCACCATCATCACCACAACAATCACCATTGGTGCTATTCCCGCCGCTTAGACTAGTACAAGATGAATCAACAGCCAACCAATAAGCTTGATAACCAAGTAATCTAGCTGTATCCGGTTGCCATTGATATGTGAATATTGTACTAGTTAAGTGTTGAATTAAACGACATCGAAATTGGGGATTTGATGCTGATGATATGGCCAGCGATATACACAGGCCAGTTAATCCAGTCAGATGACGTATATCGATTGGGGAACGTGAATTACCCATTGGTTTGGTATGCGGTCGATAGATAGTTGTAGTCAATTGTGAACTGGATACAGTTTGTACATCGGTATATATGCTTTGATTCAAGGTTGATAAATAGCCTAATATACGCTCGTAGATTGTATACACTGTATCTTGTAGATCGGTTGACTCGCTGATTATTTTCTGCGTAATTGGATTCATTGAATTTGAGATGCGATCATTTGAGAAATTTAATATTGGCGCAGAAAGAACTAAACATAGAGAGAGAGAGAAAGAAAGAGAGAAAAAATACAGATCATAAGATTTCGTAAAACTATTTACTACTAATTATGGTTTGAAATGAGTAGTTGTTGCATGCCATTCATGTCAACCGGTGAGTGGTTATTGCAATGGAGACTGTGGTGAAATTTCACCTCTTGAACTGTGTAACCTGTGAACTTGATCATAAAATTTCAACTTGGTGTGACCAACGCTCCTCAGTTAATCTGGGCTTAGTACGTTTAATTAAATAAAATAATTTGATGGATGGTGACTAGCAGTGTTGGAGTAAAGGCGAATGAAGCTCAGGAAGGGTTCGTGTGCTTTCGGAAGTGTGTGGGCGGTTGTTATTTCATGGCTGCCCACACTGGGCAGTGTTGCATGACCGCAGAGCACAGGGGACAACTGCTTGAGGCCAGCCGGTTACACGCAGCCTGTATCAACTGGTTTCTGAGATTGGTTACGTACTACTAAACTTACCACCGGTTACGCACCACCGTAGGGTAAGTCGGGATGTACAATTTTTGGGGTCGACCAACAGTATAGTTGGAATGCTGGTCATCTGAGGGAAACATCTCACCGCTGTTACATCCCTGCTCCCCAGAATAGTGTAAAAAAATTCTTACACATACCGGTAACTGCTTTTAGTCTAATTGCTATCCTAACAACCTTCTTGGCATAGTAGGACCTGCAGGAACATTGGTTTCAGCCAGTGCAGCTTGTTGGGTCATCGCGATGTGCAAGCCCAGTGACCACCACGTCAAAGTAGCAGCTATCGGTCGGAAGAAGTGTTGGAGTACAGAACAACGCGCATTTCGTCCTATTTTGGACTTGTCAGCTAACTGGATGTACCTGCATTCTCCAGTGAGTCAATGATGGTATCCCCACTGGGGCATGAACCTGGTACCCATCGTTTCAAATTCCAAAGCGTTATACACTACGAGAGAGCCAGCTCTTGTGCAATGGATGTCAGTTATTATTTAATGCACTTTGAAATTTCCTCTTGACTGGTTAGACCAAAGTGTTCGGCTTCTGTTGACATGTCATCTCCTTGTGTGGATGCTTCGATGATGTCTGAGAATGTAACTTTAAGTACTCTTTTGGAGGAAAGATGGGACGTATACTTAGCATAACAAGCAGTCACCACCCTCTCGAGTAATGTCAGCAGACACAGGATTGAGTTGTCAAAAACGTTAGAGGTGATCAAACTGGAGAATATGAAGTATATCAGTGAAATCTTTAACAGTTAGTTTGAGTCAGCCACATAGGGAAATGTAGATTTCTTGGTTAGGATCCTTGGGATGGTAAAAACCAATGAAAGCTGGAGACAACTAAAGGTGATATGGCTCAAAATTGTCATCACTGGCTGACTCAGATGCATATCCAATAAAAGTCCTCTATTGTTCTTCCATATGACTACTGTTCTTTTTGCCACACGAACACTTCTGTTTATTATCTCTCTCTCTCTCTCTTTGGAATCTCTCTTTCCTGTTTTCTCTTGCTTTGTGTCGTACATGGGAGAGTGTGGCAGCTTGAACTACTGTACTTATGCGCAAAGTTCTATATGAAAACCAGTCCAATAAGTTAGTCACCCAAGCGTTTGAAGAAACAGATATTTTATTATGAACATGTCACACAGTGAAACAGTTTTATTCATCGCTGAATGATGAGGTTTCGAATACAATTCACTATTGCTTATAATTGTAATTGCACAACTTCGGAACCTCACTTTGATACATGAGCCCCAACGGGTTGATCTCCGACGAAATCTCAGCTGGGTACGGATACAGAGGGCTAGTTTCGTGTATGCCAGTTTACGCCGCCTCTGGCGTAGACGTGATATCCGACTATCTAACGACCAGAGAGCGGGTGTACTGCTCATCAGTCCGCTCCGTCTTCCTTTATGGCTGTGACACCTGGCCACTGAGAGTGGAAGACATGAAAAGATTAGCTGTCTTTGATCATAGGTGCCTGCGTTCTATCTACCTCCCGTGTGAAGTGGTATAATAAGGTGAGCAATATTGAGGTTAGGCCTCGGTCGAGTGCTAGGTAACGAGGGGAAATCAATAGAAGAGGCTGTGAAGTTACATAGACTAAGGTGGTTAGGACATGTGTTACGCATGTATGCTTAGTCATCGCCTTCCTCGACTGAAGGGCAATGTTAGCTGACATACATATGGTCAGGCTGGAAAAGCGGTGGCGGCGGTCAAACCAAAACATGGTTTCATCAATCAATGAAATCAACAACAGTTAATCTAAGCCACGTGGGAAGGTGTAGACTTCCTGGTTGGGGTTCTCGGGACGGTAAAAACCGATGGTTGTAAACAATTAGTGATATGACTGGCTCAAAGTGATCGTTCTCAATGGCTGGTACGGAAGCATCCACTCCTTGTGACTTGTGATTTCCAATGAAACTGTTTTGTTCTTCATTATTACTATTCCTTTGTCTCACACCTCTGCTCACTGTTTCTATTATGCTTTTCTTCTACTTTCTTCTCTTGGTTTGTGTGCTACATGAAGTGTGGCGACTTGAACTATCTCACATTTGTGCAAAGTTCTATGTCGAAAACAGACAGACAGACATCATTTTTCTAGTTCCCCTTCTTCCTTCCCATTTGCCGCAGGGGTAGTAGGATTTTTCAGATGTCCAGGACAGGGAGAAGTTGGTTGAATCATTCTTCTATTGAAAATATTCACTTGCAGTTGATTCGATAAATAAAGCTTTACTTTCAAGTGTTAAATTCTACAAATTTGATTCGTTTAAAGTTCCAATACGGATTGATCTTAGTAACAGAACCATTCAGTGCTCTCTGGTTGGTGTTTTTTTATAATTATCCTCTAAACGATATCAACCCGTGATCAAAATTGAAATGAAACTTCAATTATATCGATCTCTGCCTCTCTACCCTATCATCCTACTGCATGGTTGTTTGTATGTCTGTGTGCAACTGCATGTGGAAAGGGGCAGCTGAGTTTTTTTTTACCTTTCTTCTCTTATTTAAGGTAGACTAAGCTAGGTTTCTCCAGGACTTTGTGGTCCGCTAATATATTTGAATCCATCCTGCCACTACTTTGGCCTATGTATTCGACCTTATAACCTTAGCAGGGTATTAGACAAACTAAATTATTTGTTTCTGTCGTACTGTAACGACAGAATACGAAGGCCAGGCAACAGATCGTTTATCGAGAAAATCAACAGATATTTATAGATCCTTATGTACATTATTATTCGTTATTATTAGCTGAGAAACAGCGTCTTCTGATTGGTTGTTTTCTCACTGGAAGTTATTCTGCCATCTCTTTGTGGGCGTATCTTTGAAGGTCAGGTCCGCGAATCGTATCCGCCACGCAAAGTCTGCTGCGATTGGTTGTTGAGTTCTCCAAGGTTAGGACTTGTTATTGGTTTTTCTCATGACCAAGAATTGGGGTAAAAATATTGACGTCAATTGCTATCTACCAATTTTGGCTAGCAGACAGCTCTCACCACAACATTACCTGAACATTATTGACGTAGGGGGTTACATATTGCCATAGTGTGTCCAAGGTTTACACTCGTATATCAATTAGCAAATGATGGTTCGCACAGGGGATTTGATTGGTTACATGTTTGACATCAGTCCGAGAACCCCATTGGATAAAACAACCGCAGAGTACTGGACAGCAGTTTCTGCGACCTAGTTTTAGGAGATCTTCATCAGTACGCACCCACTCCACTGAAGTCCAAACTCAGGACCTTCTGGTTACAAGATGAGTTCGTAGACCATCTAGCCATTGCGACTCAACTCAATGACCTGTCAGTCAGTCATTCAGTCATAGGTGAGGAACTGTCCTCTGATCTGACTTAATCGATTCCTCTCGCTATATGCATTAGACAAAAGTGAATATTAACGTTTGCTAGAATTTAAGTAAATGAAACACGCATTCTTACTCTTATCATAATTCACATTATCAAAGTTATCAGAGTGTTAATTTACTAAAACAAAAGAGTATTGAAGATCAATATATCATAGATGGACTTTGTATATATCACAAAGAATAAGTACATAGACGAGAAGAACACAAAGAATTAACTTACATATACGGCTTAAACATGAGATAGAATAATTGAAACGATCTGGAAAATTCATATCTAAACCATGCAAGAGGATTTGTAGTACACGATTCAATTCAGCTCGACCAGCTAGATAAGTGAAGGCTTTCAAATGACCATGACGTACTAACGGGGAGACATGTTCATAGGCTGGTTTATATGAAGCCTAAAATAAAACAAGCAAGATGTCACAATGACAAAAAATTGATTGATCACTCATTTCAACACAAACTTGGTACATCATGGGCACCAAAAAAGGCATCACATATAAGAAATTTCCTTGAAGGGCATCGTGAAAAAGAAAGGCAAGCATATTTATCGATAGTATTGAAGGAAAGCTCATTACTCTACTGATTATGAGGCTCAGCCATATCCGATATCTTGAGTCACTTGATTTGAATTACCGCAGAGGCAAACAAACTCTCCCCGTTTTCCATCTAGTTTCAAGGCTAGCAAAAACAATGGGATGATGTGTCTGATGTCACCGAAGGTGGCATTTAAAAGATGATCTCCACCATATCCAAAAGCGCACCACTAGACCTCAGAATTATTCGCAAGATGATACCATGGCCAATACGCGTTGAAGACATGAAAAGGTTGACTGCATTCGATCATAGATGTCTGCGATCTCTGTCTCACGTTAGGTGGTTTCACAAGATAAGTAATGTTGACGTTAGGCGTAGAGTGTTGGGCAAACAGGGAAAATCAATCGACGAGGTTATAAAGTTACATAGACTAAGATGGTTAGGTCACGTGGTGCGCATGCCTAACCACCGCCTCCCCCGACGGGCATTACTAGGTAGCTGATAGACGTGCAGGTTGCAAAAGAGCCAGTGGTGGCCAAATAAAAACATGGCCTCATCAATCCATGAAATCCTTGACAGTTAAACTGAGTCAGGTAGGGAGATGCAGACTCCCGGGTTGGGGCCCTCGGGACTCTAGGAATCAATGGCTGGAGACAATAGGTGACATGGCTCAAAATCGTTGTCAATGGCGCAGATGTATTCAATCTCTGTAATCTTTCATATTCCTTTCTACCATTACCCATTCTGTTTCACTCCTATATTTGTCAAACTCTATTGATTCTCGTGTTGGTTTGTAGGGATTTGATTGGTTTCAGGATTTCATCATGAGCTGACATTAGTTAGAGAAGCATTGGAAAACCTGGGAGTACTGGACAGCTGTTTCGTCTTAGTTTGGGACTCTTCAGCAGTACGCACCCACCGGGATTCGAACCCAGGACCTTCCGGTTACAAGGCGAGCTTGTATACCATTAAGCCACTGGGACCCGATCCAATGCTCCTTGAATTCTAACTTCTGCCAATTCACGGCATAGCGCGACCGCTAGCCAATGTCTTCGGCGAGTATTTGTCCTCACACCCGACCGGCTGCACCCTACTGGTCACGACTTCCCACTGGAACCCAGGTAACTACCTACCTGAATAGGGCCAGTCGCCAGTGAGCATCTCATTGGTATTCAAGTGTTGGTTTGTAGGGATTTGATTGGTTTCAGGATTTCATCATGAGCTGACATTAGTTAGAGAAGCATTGGAAAACCTGGGAGTACCGGACAGCTGTTTCGTCCTAGTTTGGGACTCTTCAGCAGTACGCACCCACCGGGATTCGAACCCAGGACCTTCCGGTTACAAGGCGAGCTTGTATACCATTAAGCCACTGGGACCCGATCCAATGCTCCTTGAATTCTAACTTCTATTGATTCTCTCCACTCATCTTCTTGTCTACCTCTGTGTGCTATTTGGAACGTGGCAACTCGAACTGCTGCACTTCGGTGCCAAGTTCTATGTTGAATCCAGACAGACAGACCATCGGATGGAAGAGAGAGAGATGGGAACACAGAGTCAGTGAGTATCCTTGTGGCTCTGAGAGGTCAGGTATCACAGGCATAGTGCAAAACGGCACGCATTGCAGGCACTGATAGCCAGCCTAACATTGTGAAAGTGACAAAGTTGGCCAAAATTGGCGTATGCAGTTCTAGCTTTTACTATACGTATTGAAATCTCATCCGTCTTACCTTCACCCACACTCATACAATCACCTAAATACACAAATTTACCGACTACTTCCAAATGTTCCTTTGCAAAGGAGAGCAGGCTCTGTAGGCTCTTACCAATCCTACAACAGTACTTTGCACATAGACTCAAAAAATCACACATCAAACTTAAACACTAACCACTGACTGATTAAGTGGGACTTAGGCTGAATGTGTGTTATCGCACAGTAAAGCTCATAATTAGATGGTCTTTCTCCAGGTAGCGGATCTACGCAACCACCAAGCACAAGTTATATGTATATGTATACAACTTGATCAAAACCACTCCTCTCTTGCGTTGGAGAGTAAAAGACAAATTGCTTAATTTCGCCTCTTCCATGTGTATCTACCAATTTAACTGCTCCTGTGGAGTGAGCCAGTTAGTTGCATAGGCCGTACAACTAGGCATGTTTCTTGGCGGATTGCCAAACATCATCCTGCATAGTGATTAAGTGAAGGACAAACAAAATCTATTCGTAGCACTATTCTATATCACTAGTCTTCTGGATACAGAAAACAAGGTTAATGTCAACGAGGCGGCTTTCAAAATAATTTACCGCTCATACCAACAAATCTTAAGAGTTCATTGACTTGATATTGCCAAAGCCGTTGGGATCCATATTAAGAAGCCTAATTTGTGCGTCCAAAAGAAGCTAGTTCAGACATTATCCTTACCGTCTTGGCCATCTAGGTTTGAATGATCCTCAGTTTTTGTGGAATTTTCCTAATTTTAGTCGATATTCTATTTCCTAATTTATCTTTGTTATTATTATAATTTACGTATACTTAATGAACTCTTATTCCATTGCGATCTTACTTTGCAAATCGATATTGACTGCTATTCTAGAATATTCCATGCATATATAAAACGTATATATTATTGTAGAGCCAGAAGGTGAGCAACATTGAGGTTAGGCGTCGAGTTCTAGGTAAACAGGGGAAATCAATCGACGAAGTCATGAAGTTACAAAGACTGAGATGGTTAGGACATGTGTTACGTATGCCAAGCCATCGCCTCCCTCGACAATGAGCAATGTTAGCGGATATAGGGTCAGGCTGGAAAAAAGCTAGCGGCGGTCAAACAAAAACTTGGCTTCACCAGTCAATGAAATCCACAACAGTTGGTCTAAGCCACGTAGGAAGGTGTAGACTGGCTTGCTGGATGGGGTCCTCGGGACAGTAAAAATCTATGATTGGAAACAATTGGTGACATGGCTCAAAATCGTTCTCAGTGGCCAGCGCAGATGCATCCACTCCTTGTGACTTATGATTTCCAATGAAACTGTTTTGTTTTTCTTTATTACTCTCCTCCTTTGTCTCACACCTCTGCTCACAGTTTCTATTATGCTTTTCTTGTACTTTCTTCTCTTGCTCGCGTGCTACACGGAATGTGGCGACTTGAACTTCCGCACATTTGTGCAAAGTTCTATGTCGAAAACAGATAGACAGACAGACAGACAGAGCCAGAAGTGGAATTTATCGAAAGGGATATTCTTTGCTAGCTCAATTATTTTGTGTCTTATTGTTTTGTCCAAATTCATAAAAGGAACTAGTCACTTTATACATATGGTTGTACCTGGTTAGCCTGACGCTCCCCTCTCCAAACTTCTCCTTCTTTACAGGGCTTGTTAAATGCTAAGCGGGATTTAGGTGTGCGTCAACCAAGAATAGAACCCGGAAGCGGTGTGCGTGTGTGTGAGGTTGACGAGTATTCTACACCTGAAGAATTGACATTACCGACTTTCTTTTAATAAAAAAACACACAAATATATAAACTAAGGGTATTTACAATGTAAATAGAAATTCAAAAAAATACCTTCTGAAATAGCCTCTTCTTCACTTCATGTCGATCATAATCTCTGATTGGATTTCTATTCTCTGGTGATCTATTACGTTTCACTTTATCAGCGAATTCATCATCAGCATCAGACGACAGTAGATCTTCTTCTTCTTCAACTGATTCATCTCCACTGTCATCTTTACCGCCACCGCCAACGCCAACATCACCATCTTCCATCTCGTCATCGACAACATCATCATCTAAACCACCGTCATCTAGATCTCCACCAGCACCACTGTCTGGATCACCTTCACCAACAAGATAAGCAGTGAATGATCCACGTGGATATAATGGAAATTTAACATAGATTAACGATTGGATAGACCAGATTAAAGCATATAGCGGTCGAGTGAAACGTAATGGCATTTCTGGCCGGCTTAAACCATATTCCAGGTCATTGAGAAGATTCGGTAGAACTAGACTTGGTCGTAATTTACACAATAGTGGAATAATTTTTACAACTATATTAACAATTGTAATTGATTTTGAATAGAGAAGATAATTTAAACAAATTGGTGTGAATAGATTGACAATTTGATCAATTTGTTCCACTGAAAGATAGAACTGGAATAGTGAGAAAAGATAAAAATAAATAAATAAATAATACAAAAAAATATCAAGTTTATTATTATACTATATCACCACTACTTTTTTTATATTTTTGATTACAGCTTGATTCAATACTGTGTTTTTGGTACAAGTATGGAATTTTCAGCATGCGATATCGGTAGGCTAAATTTGCAGGCTGACAATCGATATCAAGTGTGCGACGGCAGGGGATCGCACCCTGGACCATGTGCATGGTCGGGAACAGTCCCAACTGCTGTGTGACTGACGCATAGGCTATCTGTTTACAGTATTACACACTGTAATAGAGGTTTTTGTATTTCCCAATGAATGAAAAACAAAACGAGATTGTTTTTACTGACATTTCGCTATTTAATGCTGCTGCTAATAGCTTTCTCAAAGTATTATTAAACCGGAATTTACAAAATCTCAGCGTATATATAACAAAGAGTTAGGGGGTGAGAAAAATATAGACCTAGTTCAAGCCGACATGTCAACCTGAGACCGAGGAGCACTTCGGTCCAATTAATCGACGGGAAAATCAAAAAATCCAATTCAATAATTAATATGACCCGTTGCACAAGAGGTGGCTCTCGTGGCCCAAGTGGTCTAGTGGATAACGCTTTGGCGTTCGAAACTATGGGTACTGGGTTCGAGCCTCGGTGGGAACATCATCACTCACTGGGAAATGCAGGTACATCCAGCTGACGAGTCCCAAATAGGACGAAATGCGCATCCTGGATTCCACTGCTAGTCACCATCCACCAATTGTAGACCTAGTTCTACTTAAAAGGACATATTGAAAGTCGAAATAACAATGAAGATCGTTCAAACCAAATATCAAAGGTAGTATATCTGTTATTATATCAAAATAAAGTTTACTAATATCAGTAAAAAGTTTGAGCATTGTGGATTAGATCAAATAAAGTATAGTTATATTTTAATAGTTTACACACAATGATAAGTTTTGTTATTGGTACTAACTTACTAACTTGATCATCGTTCGTTAGTCTGGGGACATTTTTGGTTGTCATGTTGGAGAATAGGTAAAGGTAACTAAACTAAGTGTAGGCTGTGAAATACTTGATCATCGTTCGTCAGTCTGGGCTGTATTTTTGTTGTCAAGTTGGCGAACTGGTAAAGATAATAAAATCAAGTGTAGATTGTTGGCTTTTACCTATTCTCCAACATGACAACCAAAAATGACCCCAGACTAACGAACGATGATCAAGTTAGTAAACTTTATTTTGATATAATAACAGATATACTATTACCTTTGATATTTGGTCTTAGTGATCTTCATTGTTATTTCGACTTTCAATATGTCCTTTTAAGTTGAACTAGGTCTATATTTTTCTCACCCCTAACTCTTTGTTATATATACGCTGAGATTTTGTAAATTCCGGTTTAATAATACTTTGAGAAAGCTATTAGCAGCAGCATCAAATAGCGAAACGTCAGTAAAAACAATCTCGTTTTGTTTTTCATTCATTGGGAAATACAAAAACCTCTGTTATAATGAATATCATATACCCAATGCCCAAATTTTTTCAAACCGTTAAAAGTGAACTTGGTTTGGACATATATAGTATTACACACTTATGATGAAGAGAGGATGATCAAGGCTTGAAATGTTTCCGCATTCCTGGCCTACATCACTACAACTTCTCTCAACAGTTTAGTCTTCCATCCGAGATGAAGTAATTTTTGGGGTGGCGTCCATATGAAGTACCTGACCATCGACAACCAAAAATGCATAATTTTCTTTGTCACTTTATATCTAATGAAGATCCTATCCATTGCCTTGCCTTAGAAGGAGATAGCTCTCCTGTTCTTACCATTAATGGGTCCTGGGGGTTCTATTTGCTTCTAAAGCCAGGCCTTACTTGCAGAGATCGATGAATCCTCCCTATGTATGTATGTGTGTCTACATTTACATTCAGTAGAATTCAACAAATACACACTGAAGAAACACTTGATGAAGAAGAAAGAAAGTTGACACAAACTCTGTTTGATAATAATTATCCAGACAAATTCATTAGGAGATATAAAGTAGTCAGAACGCCAAGATCCGCTCTCCAGCACGCCACTTAGAAAGACGTGTACATCAAGCTACCCTACGCATGGGTGATCATAGCAGCTTGACTACTAGACATACGTTGAACACTGTTGTCAAAAAGACTTTTTATACAGCTAAAATCAGAATAATTGAGAATATGAAGCCAATAAATCCATCTACGCCCATTGAAGATACGAAAAATGATGTCACATCCCATTGTATTTACCAATTTGAATGTACGTGTGAACACACATATATAAGGAGGATTCATTGACCTCTGCAAGTAAGGGCTGGCTTTAGATGCTAACAGAATCGCCAGAACTCATTAATTCCGAGAACAGACGACGTAGCTCCTCAATTGTGAAATAAAAGAATAGAAAAGAAACAATATAAAAGTTATAAATGACTAACTCGGCAGTTCGACGGGTCACACCTCACAGTAGCTCTGTGTTTCTAGCACAGCTGATAGATACGCTTAAGCATAAAGATGATGTTATTACGGCATTTAAAATTAATTATCACATTCTTTACAAGTTCGTCGTCTGTATAATAGCTGAAGCCAGCCCTGGGACAGGATGGAAAAGGCGGAGAGATGGTCAGTTCATGACGTGGCGTCGTGGGATGAAAGATTTTTGTGCTAGATTAGCATCGGTTGGTATGTCACGACTCCCTGGTTGGGGTCCGCGAGATAGCTCGAATCGATGGCTCGATTCGTTATCGGATATGGCCAAGAATCCTTTTCAATGGCGAACGTGTTGCGATTTCCTTCTTTCTTCCCTTCCCGCGATGATAGTTAACGAATACAGTTTGAACTTGTTAAGCATGACCGTCTTCCTTCCAGATGAAGTTCTGTATCCGTTCTCTACTTATATATATATATATATAATTTTATCTTCTTCCTTTTTTCCTTTGATCTATGCTGTTTTATTATTATTGCGTGGCGCATCCTTCTTGGTGTCATATTGTACCAAGTTTTTAATGCGTTTAAATAAAATAATAATAATAATGAAGCAATCAGAAACCACGTGAAGCAGATCAGTCTATGCGTTCTGAAACTATTCCTACCGCTACTTTCCTTAAAGTAGGCATCACCATATGGATGTAATGATCTTCCGCCTCATCCCACCCTCCGCCAAAGCCTTTTATTATTATAACTGTTTCATCTTTAACTATTTATTACGTTACCGATTTGAATTATTATTAATAGTAATAGGTTATATATATATATATATATATATATATATATATATATATATATATATATATATATATATATATATATATATATACAAATAAAATTTGTAAAATTATATACATTTATTTTATTATTTTTGGATTACAGCTTGATTCCACACCATTTATTTTGGTACAGGTATGAAATTTTCAGCATGTGATATCGGTAGCCCAAATTTTGCAGGCCGACCATAGATATCAGGTTTGCATCGGCAGGAGATCGAACCTCGGACCATATACATGGTCGGTGAGAGTCCTGATCACTGTGCCACCGAGGCACAATAATGGGCCTATCTTCGAGGTAATGCAATACGAGGCCGACCCGTGGACAGGGTTGAGCAAACTCACAGCACCCATCCGTAAGGGAAAAATACAGGTGATTTCATTGGTCTCAGTTTAGAGACCGTTGTAGCAATTACACTGCAAAGAACAGAGCTAATAATAATAATGATAGAAGGTAGAATAATAAGTAAAACGAGTTACCATGGTAGGTTCGGAGTGACGACCATCTCCTTTTGTACACAGATACCTGGTGGTTTATAAACTGGAAAGGCTTGTGCAATTCGAGTTTATAAACCAGGTGTCTATGTACAAAAGGAGACCGTCGTCACTCTGAATCTACCATGGTAATACGTTTTACTTATTATTCTACCTCTTATTATCATTATTATTCTTGATTCATTTAAAACTATCCTTTATCGGTAGGATTATCTTAACTCACTTCAACACTATTATTATTATTATTATTAGTGTTATTATAACTATTACTATTGATATTAGTCTGTTTACAATTCTCGTTATATTCCCTAATGACTAATTGTTTATCTAATTGATGTAATTGAAGCGTAGTGCAATTTATCTTAATTTTGATCTCTCATACTCTCTCTCTCGCGCGCGCGCCTTATCTATTTGAACATGACCTGTAAAACATTCGCACGTGTCTTTCTGCATGACTAACTCAATGTAATTTGTTTACTTATCAGTCTTATATCTCCCAATGTAAATTCAAAAGTCTACATATATCCGTGTATGTAGAGTATTCATTAGCTGAAGAGTTCTACCGAAATTTGATGAATCCATCATTAAATCCTGTGCTTTATTGCCCAACATTTGTTGCTTGTTTTAGATAAGGATCTAATTGAAAAGTCGGTGAGATCTATTTCTTCATTCGATCCTTATGTCATCACTCCTCCTCCTCCTCCTCACCGTCATCATTACCATCACAATCATCTCATAAACACGATGAACACACATACAAAAATCAACTTACTTCTGGTGGTGTATAGCCTAAGTCTAATGCTTCAACTGGAGGGAATAATTCATCACGTAAACGACTAATTAAACAACGTGTAAATTTCCATATAAACCATGCCAACAATTTTGCTGAATCAATTTGATTCGATGATGGATGATAGAAGGATTCAAGAGACTGGTAAAAAAAAGAAACAAAAATGTAGATCACATCAGAGGAATATCTTTTATATACAATATATATATATATATATATATATATATATATATATATACATATATATATATATAGATGCTTATGCAGATCACTGAGAATAACCTTCTTGGCGAGTGAGCTAGGGATCCACTTCTACAACTGACAAAATGATCAATGGATGTGTGAAGGATAAACTATCAACGCTTATGGGACACTTCAATGTGTGTTTATAAATTCACCTGCTCATGTGAAGCTAGTTATATTGGTCGCACAAAGTGACCGCACACTTTCCAAACACATCTCTGAATATTATCTGGCATGGTTAGCAAAATGATAATGCAAGACAGTTAGTTACTAACTCAATTCTCGAGCACTTGGTGAACCGATCGATTAAGAGGGTTAGAACACATTTTGCACATACCTTCTCTGATGAACAATGTTAGCTGACTGGCAGAGGACTAGGCTGGAAAAGAGTTAGGGATAGTTAAGGCTAGAAAATGGCATCAATTCATGAATTCATTGACTTTTGCTTCCAGTCAATCAGTTGTTAAGCACGTGTAATTGTAGACTGCCTGCAAGACATTGTCAGGATGCTATGAAATCAATGACTTGAGATGATTATTGGTGATATGACTGAAAATTGTTGTCATTTGGCAGAGATGAATCCATTCTATGTAATCTCACACATCTATTGCTCCCTCATGTTTCTCTATGTTAATATTGTCTTCTGCCGCACACTTTTGCTCACTAAAGTTCTTTCGAATTGTCGTCGTTTTTTTCTTTATTCTCTTTCTATCTTTATGTACTTTATAGTAGAGTGTGGCAACTTAAATTGCTGTACTAGTGAGCAAAGTTTTATGTGGTAACTTAATGAGTCACAGTTCAAAGCTCAGCTAGTTTGGTATAACCGTTGGATCGAAAAATATCGATTTGCTGTCAACAGGTCACCGATTACATCAGTACACAGTCCGACGACGTCAGTAGGATAATTTTTTTTTAAAACTCATGCAAGCTTGACTGAGAACAAGGAGATGGTAATACACATGAGTTGTGTGTGTATTGTTATTACTTTATCAATAATTACTTTAGTAATTCACTATTGTCCCCTCTTAAATGTTCCTTTTATACATTCTACTAGTGTGGTGAGAGCAGGCTGCTAGCCGATTGGTTGGCACTAATCTACGTTAAGGTCTAGGTCACTAATATGGGCCGTGAGAAAATATGAACAGGGCTGAGTCAACAACCAATCACAGCAAAGTTAACGTGGCAAAATATGATTCGCAGATAGAGAACTCTATTTGTCAAGGAATCCCGAAACAACCAATCAGAAGCCTGCGTTTGTCTACCTAACTTCTGATAAACAACCAATCAGATGACTGCGCTTGTCTATAATAATGTAGTTGAAATATGTATAAATACGTGTTGATTTTCACAATAAAACGATCTGTTGCCTGGCCCTTGTCTTCTGTTGTTACACTAGGGCTTTGTTATTGTATCTCGGTTTCTCTACACTTGTCAGACGGATACAATGATATGTATCCACATATATATATATATATATATATATTTATGTGTGTGTGTGTATGTTGGTCTCTCTTTCTGTTTGCTCTCTTAGTCTGTGACCATTTCACTTGTATGAACCTGTCTGCTTTAACAATGTATATTCCATTTATATTATATATAATATGAGTGTTTGTTGACAGTCCGTTGCTTAGTGACATATATCCATATATGGTGGTTGTTGACATGTCTGCTATATTTTGCTATGTATATATGGATCGATACTTCATTATAATTAGCCATTCATGTTAAGACTGTCCATTGATTTGTTCACACACTTGTCTGCACATTCATATATATTTCGCTCACACAATCTTGTGTGTCCACTTATTTTTGGTGTGAGACCATTTATTTTCGTCTCCTTGTGTTTGGACAATAGAAGTATCATCGCAAACCTAGTGGTCTTCTGATTTCCGCCTTTTTGCGTCAGGACTATTAAATTCTCGACCAGTCCATAACAATAATTTAGCGACGAGTACATAACATACAACCAACCTGCTTGTCATCTAATATCAACTTTGTCAAGTTTTAAAGCCTTACACTTCCATCATGTCTTTGGTTGTTACATAATATCCTTTTATCTGTAGAAATCACTTCTGAGTAGTTTTGTTAGTTATGGTAACCGCCGCCCCCGTCTACGAATAATAATTATTATTCCCTCGTATTCCGAGTGGAATATAAGGCTGGCTTCAACAACACATCTCCACATTCTTCTGCTTTCTGCCGTCCTCTTCATCTGGGTCCACGATTGACCAAACTCTCCCATCTCCTCCTCCTCCTCCTCCTCGATACACGATCTTCTCCACCAACGACCGACTCGTCGCTTGCCAACAAAATCCCACTCAAGCAATGACCTTCATTGCACGCGACGTCATTCGATGACCTCCTCAAAGTATGCCTGATCCAACTCCACTTTTGCCTAACATATTTGTTCAGCGATCGGCTATTACGTGTTGGTTTCTTCCCAGTCAGAGTTTCTTCTTGCTTATTCTTTCTCGCTTGCCGTTTGATCTTCACTATGGATCCAGATAGCGAAGGTAGCTGTTGATGAAAGTCTCTTGTGATCTGTTGGAAATCCTTTTCGTGACGCATGCGCAGTGCACGTTTCTGACTCGTATAGAAGCACTGACCGACTTGACATTGGTGTTTAAAATTCAAATCTTGTTTCTTATGCTGAGTGTGGAAGACTTTCAAACTGGTTTCAGATTGATGAAGGCGTATCTTACTTTTCCGATTCTGACTAGGCTTTGACATCTTCGTCCGTTCCGCCAGTAGTTGAAACGATGCTTCCCAGATAAGTGAAGGAGACAACCTCTGTTAAATCTCCCCCTCTAGTACTCAATAATAGACTACTATGCATTTTTCGGTGAAAATAAATACGATTGTATAGCCTTTGAAGATCACTTCGTCGGGGAAGAAACTTTTCTTCAGCTAGAGGCTATTGAAAATCAAGGAGAACAGGACAGCTGTTTCGTTCCACTTCTAGTCTCTTCATTGGCGAGCACACACCATACAATCAGGGACCTTTAGGTTACAAGGCCGAGATCACTGACGATTCAGTCACTTGGGCCGGTGGAATTTGCAGACCCCTGAATTCTTACTTTGTCAGTTTGTGATATACGGCAACCCTGAACCATAGGCCTTCATGAGCATCGACTTCATTTTTACATGGTGAACCCAACTGATCACGGCGTTTCAGTACACTTACAGGACATCCATCCAGTATTCATCAAAGAACTGGAAACTGATAATTGGATTATGGGTTTTTGTAGGGATTGGAATAACATTTTATCGCAGGTGTGTATTGCTGGAGAGTCTCCAACAAGGACGAAACAGCCGCCCAGCACTTTTTGGTTTTCATTGATCTATAACAACGGATATTAGTTCATAACCAAATCCGCACAAAAATCTACAATCTAAAATTTTCTTCATGAAGCTATTCAGTAGGTGACGACCAGCAATGGTATCTAGGGTGAGTATTTCGGCCTATATGGGACCTTGTAACCTGGAAGTCATGGGTTCGAACCATGGCGGTGAAGGTGTCCTGCAAGTCCCAAACTAGCAATATAGAAACAGCTGTCACGTACTCCCAAGTAGCTTCTACTAAGTGGTTCTCTGACCGATATCAGCTTATGACAAAATCCTGTAACAAATCAAATCCCTGCAAAACCAACAATTGATTACATAAACAATTTAGTTGAAAAAGTCCATCCCAGTATCATGCGACTAGTCCTTAACTCTGACTGTATTCCACCAACCTAACTGGTCATGTAACTACCAAGTTATAATTCAAATCCCTTAGGTGAAGTTGATTCCTTCAAAGTCCCAAGTACATATTGCTGATGAGTCCAAGTAAACACGAAACTTACGTCAATAGTTCGCAGTTGAAAAGAATTTATGTTAATACTAACACCAACATGTAAATAAACAATGCTTTCTATTTTCAACTCTGTCAGCTTGTAGAGATTTGATTAATCTCAAATTTGATCGCGGATCTCGAGATCACTTAGACAACCCCATCGAAATACCAGCTAGGAATATTAGACAACTACTCCTGTGGACCTAATTTAGGACTTTTACACATCAGTATACACCCACAACTTTAAACGCCATGGGTAGAACCCAAAACCACGAAGGCTTACAAGCCGCAATGACCTTGTGGACCGATCATCATTAGCCATTAGGAAAAAAGAATCCAGTGATCAATGGAGTTCTTGATAACAAAAAAAAAAGCAAAACAGAGCTAAAAAGAACAAACCTTTAATAACTGTTCTAAACGATAAATCCCAGTGGATTGACACTCTGGTCTATCTGGACCAATAGTATTCATAATTAATTCTGCATACAACTGTATTTCATCAGTGTTCATTAATTCACCAGATGACAATGGTGTATTTCTAAGCGTAATGCTTCTAAACACTGAAGTGAATATACGCTCCATATGCGGTTCCCAATCGATACGACCACGACCAATACGTGAAACTTTGCATAATATTACAATAATTTCCTAATTGTGTATAAAAGATTAAAAAAAACACAAATAGAAATTGAACAAAATGAAGATTATTTAGAATAAAAATTATTATTATTATTATTATTATTATAGCGAAAATATTCATTCAGACATCTATAAAACACAAAATAATTGAGCCAGCAAAGAATATCCTTTTTGATAATTTCCTCTCCTGGCTCTACAATTATAGACGTATATGTTTATATAAATAGGATATTCTACAATAGTAGTCATTAATAATATTGGTGTTTTTAAATACTACCGACAATAATAATGATAATAGTTATCCCGACAAATTTATCAAAAAGCACAAGACAAAGAAAGCGGCGGAAAAGGACTATTCACTATCCATAAGCAACAAGCTTCTTTATATACAAAACTGCAATTTCAATTTCTCAGTTACCAGTCTATGAGCTGTGTAAAGACTAACGACAGTATCCAGTTACCTTTCAGGCTAAAGTAGACGGCGAAAGGTTCGAAGTCGGCTGAAAGTCAGGTGATTAATGCGATGAGCTATATATATATATATATATATATATATATATATATATATATATCACTCCATAAACGACATGGTACGGTCTAGAATGGGTAGACATTCTGATCTTCCTTCTAAAATGCTCTCATGTGACCACGCGTTCATATCCTCTGCTGGGGAAGTCCTATTCATGCATACATTCATGTCATGAGGGTATTCCCACAAAGATGATAAGGTGAATGAGAACGTCTTGAGCTTTACAACCAGACTCGTCGACATGCTGGTTTACCTAGGGGAGTTGGAAAAAACCATGATTGCCAACCTATGGTAGTGTACATCGGCTCCAGAATTATAAAGGATTGGAATGGTGTGTGTGAACATGTTTTGGTCATCAGAAACTGAGGGAAAAAAGCTTCAAACGTTGGAACTACTGCTTTGTGAAACAGATTTCAAGTCAAAGTTTTGTAGGTGGGGCGAATGGCCCCTAAAGACAACCACTTGCTTCTGCCTGGATGTTAAGATAGTATCCAAGCCCTCGCAGAAGTTGTTTTCAATAATAATAGTGATCATAATCAATATTAACGACTACTTCACAATTATTTCATCACATAACTCCAATTCAGGTTATTGAAGATGATGAAAGCACTTCGGAGTTACCATCACATACAGCCTAAACTATGAGTACAAGAAACAATAGACTTCAATTAATGTCGCCTACCATGGACTACACAATGACCTATTTAAATATGATTGGTCATTAGTATGTACTTTTGTTTCTTATTTAACTGAGTCTGGAGTAAGTCACTTATTATACCGATATTCAAGAAGGGAAACAAGTCCTCGTGTGATAATCATAGGGGGATCAGCCTAACGAACATAGTCTCGAAAATCCTAGGCTCACTAATCATGCACAGACTAAGCAGAACTCAGGAGAAACAAACGGGGGAAAATCAAGCAGGCTTTAGACCAGGTAGAGGGTGCATAGATCATATCTTCACTCTTCGACAGATTCTAGATTATAGACACACTTTCCGGCGTCCAACAATTGCCACATTTCTTGACTTGAAGGTGGCCTTCGACTCCGTGGATCGAAACGTACTATAGCAATGTTTGACTGTGAAGAAAGTTTGCATGGAGGATTTAATCATGAGCTGACATCAGTTAGAGAACCACTACAAAACCTGGGAGTACTGGACAGCTGTTTCGTCCTAGTTTGAGACTCCTCAGCAGTACGCACCCACCGGGGTTCGAACCCTGGACCTTCTGGTTACAAGGCGAGCTCGTAGACCATTGAGCTCTATAGAAAATGTTTACTATAGCCACTAGGACCCGTGAAAAAAGTGCCAAGAAAGTACATTGCAATAATCAAGTCACTCTATTCAAACTCACGTAGTCGTGTAAGGGCTTATGGGGAATTGTCATCTGAATTGGTAACAACCAGTGGTGTCCCACAGGGATGTCCACTTTCCCCATTTCTGTTTAACTTCATCATAGATATGCTGATGGAAGTGTCCTTAACGGAACGTAACGACTTAGGAATCGACTTGTTACCAGGGAATAGTCTTATGGACTTAGAATATGCAGATGACATAGTCCTGTTAGGGGAGGAAGATGACAAAATGTAGAGTCTTCTGAACACCTTGAGCTGAGCAGCAATCTTCGTATGTTTGGCATACGATTCGCCTGCTCCTGTCAAATGTAAGATGCTGCTACAGGACTGGACCACGTCAACTCCTAACTTAGTGATAGAGAGTGAAGTGATAGAACATGTTGACCACTTCACCTATTTGGGAAGTTGTATCAGCCAGCACCAACAGACTGATTGGCGATGAAATCTCAACACGGATCCGAAAAGCTCGAGCTGCTTTCGCTGACTTACACCATCTCTGGTGTAGGCGTGACATCCGGCTATCAACCAACCAAGGGACGTGTGTACTGCTCAGCAGTTCGCTCCGACCTTCTCTATGACTCTGAAACACGGCCAATACGAGTTGAAGAGATGAAAAGGTTGACTGCTTTCGATCATAGATGTCTGCGATCTCTTTCTCACGTTAGGTGGTTTAATAAGGTAAGTAATGTTGACGTTAGGCATAGAGTGTTGGGCAAAGAGGGAAAATCAATCGACGTGGCTAGGTGACGTGCTGCTCATGCCTAACCATCGCCTCCCCCGCCGACGGGCATTACTAGCTAACTGATATAGGTGCAGGTTGGAAAAGAGTAAGTGGTGGCCAAACGAAAACATGGCCTCATCAATCCATGAAATCCTTGACAGTTAAACTGAGTCAGGTAGGGAGATGCAGACTTCCGGGTTGGGGCCCTCGGGACTCTAGGAATCAATGGCTGGAGACAATAGGTGACATGGCTCAAAATCGTTGCCAATGGCCAGCGCAGATGTATTCAGTCTCTATAATCTTTCATATTCCTTTCTACCATTACCCATTCTGTTTCGCTTTTATACTTGTCAAACTCTATTGATTCTCTTCACTCATCTTCTTGTCTACCTTTGTGTGTAGTATTTGGAACGTGGCAATTCGAACTGGTGCACTTCGATGGCAAGTTCTATGTTGAATCCAGACAGACAGAGATTTAATTGAGTAATTCTACAGACTACTTGTTTCTTATACATGAAGAAGGCGATCATCCACTGTCAGTACCTATATAGAAGTTTGGCTTCTTCTACTCTCCCCATCGAATAGTGCGACTACTCCTAACTCTCCCTCTCTCTCTCTCTCTCTCTCTCTCTCTCTCTGCATATATGCATATCTATTTTTCAGTTGTCAACTAAACTAGTAATGGATTTCATGTAATTAACTATTTATAGAGTATTGACACGTGTACACTTTTGTTAAATCATTACTATTGATATTATATATCCTACATACATGATTATTGAACTGAATACTGTCTCTGAATGACGTAAAAGGTATACCTATGATTTAATATGCTCAATATGTGAGCAACATTTTATTTAAAGTATATAAATCACATTTTTCTCTAAAAACTGTAAATACTCTTAATGAGTTAATATGATAGATTAGTATTTCAAAATGTCATATCATACCTCCTACCTTAGGTGTGAATATACACAAAGATATTAATACGCTTAGCAATGAGTTGTACGCATAGTATGAAGCCTGATGATGATGATGACGACGACGCCCTTTGGCAGACGGAACTCTAATGGTTCGAGTAGTGAAGTTTGGTTGAAATTTGACTGCCTTATCCAGCAATCCATAGGCCTACAGAACTCTTTGAATATAGAATAACAATTTCGTTGGTGCTGGAGTCTAGTAGTCTAGTGCAAGCCAAGACATCCTCCCGACTGCCGGCCCACCTATCCCCCCCCCGCCCAACCAAATAACTTTTAAAATGCGATGAAATCAGTATTGTGGACACTCCACTGCTAGCCATCACCAACTTAAAATGGCAACATCATATCAACAATATTCAGGCATCATCTGTCCGTGCTAGGAGTTGGCATATCATAACAAAGAAATCGACAGGAGTGATTAAATGTTATTTCTGTAGTTTTCAAACATTGGTTTACACATTGGGGATTTAATTAGTTACATGTGTGACTGCGAGTTGACACCAGTTAAAGAATCCTATTGGAGAACCAGTATACATTACTGGGAGGTTGTTTAGTCCCGGTTGGGGGACTATCCTTATTTTGCATTCAGGAGTATAAGATAAACTGCCTAATTCCACTTTTTCTATGCGTATCTACCGATTTGACTGTTCCTGTGGAGTGGGCCAGTCGCATAGACTGTACAGTTCGGTGTTTTTTACCGTTGGATTTCAGAAAATCATCCTGAACAGTGGGTTGGTTAAGTAAAGGACAAACAAAATCCACTCATTTAGTGCTATTCTATCTCATTCATCTTGTGGATACAGCTGAACACAAGATTGATGTTAACATGATAGGTGGCTTTCAAAGTCATTTACCGCACAGCAACCAACTAATCTTAACACCGCCTTAAGCGATCGTCAACTACAAGTATTGCTGGGATTTGTTGTTGGGATCCACATTAGGCAAGCTAACTGATGTATCTATTGGAAAGAAGTAGTTAGTTGGTTCACACACACATTCCTTACCTCCCTGGCCATCAGTCAAGGTCTTAATCATCCTCAATTTGTCGTTGTACAAATTTCCTTAATTTTCAGGATTTCATCATGAGATGACATTAGTTGGAGAACCATTGGTAAACCTAGGAGTACTGGACAGCTGTTTCGTCCTAGGTTGGGACTCTTCAGCAGTACGCACCCACCGGGATTCGAACCCAGGACCTTCCGGTTACAAGGCGAGCTCGTATACCATTAAGCCACTGGGACCCGATCCAATGGTCCTTGAATTCTAACTTCTGCCGATTCACGACATAGCGCGACCGCTAGCCAATGTCTTCGGCAAGTATTTGTCCTCACACCCGACCCGCTGCACCCTACTGGTCACGACTATGTCGTGAATTGGCAGAAGTTAGAATTCAAGGACCATTGGATCGGGTCCCAGTGGCTTAAT